TGCACTCACATTTCATCAGTCTGTGTAATATTTAATTGAATTACGTGATAATAGGATTGTAGGATTACAATGACAAGTATACCTGGCTGAAACAGGCGAGAGATCCAGCTGACTCTTGGTAAACAGGCAGCCCGACCTCCGGGGGTAACTGAACTACCTGCTTTTTGAGACCACGGGTCAGCACACCGTGGTTCCGCGAACCTGTTTTTGTATGTCCTGAGTACAAATGGTTTTACGACGGATGGTTTTATATCTTTAAATGGTTGGAAAAAATCAAAAGGAGAATATTTCATGATGTGAAGTGGATGTGAAATTCAATCTTTGATATCCACCAATAAAGTTTTATTGGAGTGCAGCCACGCCCCTTCTTTTTTTTGGGGGGGGGGCCTAGTTCTATGGCTGCTTTTGTGTGACAGTAGCCAAGCTGAATGGCTGAACAGAGACTAAAATATTTACTATTTGGTCCTTTTCAGAAAGGCTTTGCCAGCACCTGTTCTAGAGAGAAGCCTGAAGCTTGGGAGTGCACCATGCCTCAGGTATCTGTCGCTGCGATTTACGGAAGGACCGACGACTTGGGGTAAGGGAAGTTTTCCTAGGAGAACTCCTGCCATCAGAATCGAAAATCCTTTCTTTCTTGGCATTACTACCTCCCAAAGCCACCCCCTAGATATAACCAGAATCCACGGTGTTACAGTTTGAACCATTTCTCATTGACCTCACTCACTCATCCACGGTCCCCGTTGCCCTTCACAGGGCTTTGACAGTGACAGATCATGGGAAGTAGAGGGTGGCCCTATCCGCTCCCCTACCATTAATCCAAGCAGATGACAAAGCTTGCTTGAATGCAGCTAATAACCCTTTGGAGAGGTGGCCATTTCTCAACGGTGGCAACGTGTTATTCCTCATTCTTTGCTTCATTCCGCGTAAAGAGCCAGAGTGTTTTTAGGTAACAGGACATTTGTACTCATGACAAAATGAACAGGCTTGCATTTCGATAAGCACCATCATGGTAGCCAGTATTTTCCCGGGCTGTGGCTGGGAATCGAGATAGCATAGAGTTTCACATGGGCAATACACGAGCAGCCTTAACCATCGGAGAGCAGACAGATCCACCGCCTAACTACCGTTGACGTCCATTGATTTTCCACTGTCTCCTCCAGGGGATTTTTTTTAGCTAGATGCAAGGCTATCAGTACTGTCTGGACGTAACTGGGAGTTGTCCTTGGGTGAAACATGTGTGGGATATCTGCACCTGTGAGGAGTGTGTGTGTGTGTGCGCGCGCGTGCACCACCATCACGTCTTGGCTGGATTATTGCAGTGGGTTCCTAACTGGCCTCTCTGCTTCTGGCCTTGCCCTCCTACAGTCTATTCTCAACACAGCAGCCAGGATGCTTCCTTTAAAACCCAAGTCAGGGAGCGCCTGGCTGGCTCAGTCAGTGGAGCCTGGGACTCTTGGTCTCGTGAGCCCCACATTGGGTGTCGAGATTACTTTAAAAAAAAATCTTTAAAAATAAATGAAAAAAAATAACACCTAGGTCTGACCATGTCACTCCTTGGACTGAAGCTCTTGTGTCATTCTGAGCAAAAGCCAAAGTCCTCACAGCAGCCTACAAGGCCCTACATCATCCAGTCCCTTGCTGCCTCCCTGATCTCCTCTCCTTCTGACTGTCCCCACTGCTCACTCCACTCCAACCACATGGACCTCCTTGCCATCCTCAAACTGCCAAGCACACTCCTACCTCAGGGCCTTTGCACTTGCTCTTTCCCCCGCCTGGAACATTCTTCCCAAGGTAGCCTCATGGTTTGCTTCCTCACTTCCTTCAAATGCCATCTAATAGGTGAGGCCTTCCCCAACCACCCAACATAAAATAAGCCCCCCACACCCCAGTACTTTGTCCCTTGTCCCCTAACTTTTCTCCATAGTACTTATCATTATCAGACATACTACATGCTTTCTTTATTGATTTTCTGTTTCCTGCCATTAGAATGTAAGTTCCATGAGGGCAAGGATTTTGCCCCTCTGTTCATGGCTCTGTCCTCTGTGCTTAGCATAGTGCCTGGCAGAGTAGGGGCTTAATAATTGCCACATGGCAACCTGCTGTCCATAGAACCTTGGGCATGAGGCCTTGTTGAGGGTGGAAGGCAGTGGTGGACAGTGGGAAGTCAGTGGGGTGGGATACAGAATGCTAAGCCTCTGGGGATGTGTGCCATAGGTTATCCTATCTTGATGAGTGGCCCTTGAGCCCCCTTGGGCAAGGAGTCCAAGTTCTTGGCCTCCCTGACCCCTGGAGTGGCCTTACTAGGTGTTCTGAGAATGGGGATCAAGGGAACCCCAGTGATTCTCTCCCGCCTGCCCTTTGAGGACAAGTTGGAGGCAGGTGCCGGTCCCAAGTCTACAATAACAATTATTTTGAAGTTTCTCCTTTCACCTATATCAGCCCCCCACCTCCCAGACATGTCTAAGAGCAACTGAGTCATGGGTCAATGACGATGGTGGGTGTGTGGGTGGGGGTAACTGAGCCCATTGATCACGGGCTGAGACATCCTCCCCACTAAGGAACAAGTTAATAAACTCTTCAATGAGGAGGTGGTGATTAATGAACCAATCAGCTTGCCCTGTAATTGGGAAGTGGAATCAGAGGGCAGGGTGGGACCATGGGAGGTTTGTAGGCTGTGGGCGGCTGGCTCCTGGTCCCTCTCACAGTCGTTCTGAACGCAAATAGGGAAGCGACTTTTTTAGGGGTTGTATCCTGAATCCAGGCCTTCCCCCACACCTTCTGGCTTCTCTACTATTTCTCCTCTGCTCCCATCTGCCCTCAGACCACCCCCCCCCACTCCCCAAAGCATGAGAAGCCATCAGTTCGCTTTGGGCATTTCACAATCCCTGTCATCTCTCTCTGCCGGGGGTCAATACACTAGAAACCCCCTGTCGCCTCCCCAGCCAGGTCTGCAGGAGAGCAGACGGCCCTCGCTCTCAGATATCCCTGTCCTCTGTAGCCTGCAGGGGTCCTTGTCTAGGCCCCGACCCCTGGGATTTCAGCTGCCCCAACCAGCCCCGCTGGCTGTCCTCTCCATCCCGAGGGTGAGTACCTGCCCCCGTCCTCCCATGGCCTCTGGAGGAGTGTACTTTTATTTTTGCCATCTGCTCCCCCAGCTGGACCCAGGCTTGTCCCTCTGTTTTCCTCTCCGTCTCTATGTCCTGGCAAATCCCCAGACTGGGGCTCTGCAAGGATAGTGGTGTGCCTCCTCCCTTGGGTTGGGGCTCCCCAGTGATGCTGCTGCTCCCCTCCCTTCAGACTGGGGATCCCCAAGATTATGGCCATGACTCTCCTCTGAGACTGGGGGTCCTGGAGAACAGGGCTTTGCCCTGCCCCTCGGGTGAATGGTTTTTCTCCTCCCCCTGAGTATAGGGTCCAGGTCCCCTCTTCTGCCTCCAGGCTGAGCACGCTGCCCTCACCTTTCTTGGGGTATGCAGGGCCCATGGGGCCTGACTGGTTGATAGGGAGCCGTTTCCGGAGAATGCAGGTGATTGAACCTATAAAAAGATGATTGAGGGAGCCCTAGACTCTCCACCTTGAGAGAGCTCTAAAAATAATACCCATGGCCATCTGTCCTGGAGGGTGGAGGGGCTGGCCCAGAACCAAGATGGCGCCTTCTGCCCTCAGGGGCTGATGGGACACAGGGAAGCCCTGGAGGCTCTGGCCAGGCTGGGAGAAAGGGAGCTGGAAAGGACTTTATGGGGAGACGCCCCAACAACCTTCTTTTCCCAGTGGGGGCAGGTGGGTCTGATGTGGTTGGCCTCTCAGAGAGGGTAGCAGGCTCCCAAATTAGCCTCCCCTCCCCTGCTCCCATGCCCGACTTCTGAGCCCTATGGTCGTTCCAGGTAGTGAGGCATTCTGCCCCTCTGCTGAGATGGCCTCTTCCTGGGGTCTACCCCAGCCCTTTCCTCTTGTTCGAATCCTAGGTTCCCTCCTCTCTCAGACCTTCAGTTTCCTCATCTGTAAAATGGGAATAAATTCAGCTCATTGGGTTGTGCTGCGATCCTGTATGGCCAGTGCACAGTAGGTGCCTAATGAACAGAGTCCCTTCCTCTTTCTTTCAAAGGCCCTGGGCAAGGATTTTCACCCCAGAGCCCAGTGGAGACTGCAGTGGGCTGGGGACAGTGGCACGTGCTTGGGCAGCCCTGGCATCACTTAACCCCAGAAGACACCAGTGCCCTGAGTGACACCTGGATGGGGATGGGGTATGCTGCCTTGGAAGGGATCTCTATGCCAGGCCTGCCTGGGCCTGGGTCTGTGTGTGTCCGGCTGGATGCACAGGTGGCAGACTCAGCTACTTCTGGGGGTGGGGACTGGCCTCGGCTTCCTCTCAACCCTCTCCCCAGCTCTTTCACAGAGAAGGGACATAGTGGGGTGTCCAGAGAGGCCTCTCCTCTAGGACATTATAAACATCAGGTCAAAAGCCAAAGCTATAGCTCTTACCCCGCCTCCAGTAGAAAGATTCTGCCCCTCCTTAGCCCCTCTCCAAGGAATTGCAGAGCGAGGGCTGAAAAGGGTGCCTTTTCCATGGACCGGTCACAGGTCCCACTGGCTGGAGATAGTGGCCAGCCTAGGCTCCTCATTCCAACCCACGGGTGGGCTAGGGAAGATGGAATCTCATCCCTGGTCCTAGGGGCTGCCCCAGGAGTCTAGATACAAACGTTTCACTTCCTCGGGAGGGCTGCACCTGCTGTTGGGGGGCTGTGTGGTGAAGATGGGGTTCAGGTTCTGTCCAGAGTCTGAGTCTGAGTCTGGTGGCTGCCCCCTCATCTCCTGCAAGGTGGAGACATCACACACTGTCTGGGTGTACACTCAGCGATCTGGCGGGGGTGGAGGCAAGGAGGAGGAAAGGCCCTCCCCAACCCTCGAGCTCCCCCTCCCCCTCGGACTCTCCCTCCCTTTCCAGGCCGAGATATAAGCCCCGCAGGGAAAGCGCTGAGCAGAGGAGGAGGCCACAGCCCGACCTGCAGCAGTCCAGCCCTTGGGACTCCTTTCGCCTTCCACTTGCTCATCTCTGCTTCCAGAGCTGTCGCCGTGAGTGGCCCGGGAATGGTCTGGTGCGGGGGAACCCGGGCTGTTTTGTGGAGAAACTGAGGCTGGGATGGTGAAAATTGGTGCTGAGCGGCCAGCATAGCCGTCTGCCTCCAGCTACCGTTTTGGGCAGTACGAGTCGGGGTTGGGGAGGCCAGGCTTATGCCTCTCTGACAGATGGGGAAACCGAGGCAGAGACGGTGCAGTGCCCGAGAACACACAGCGAGCCGGTGGCTGAGCCTTGGTCCGGTAGCAGCCCCGCACAGGCCGGCGAGCGTGGGCCGGACGGCCGCCTCAGCCCCCCGCCGTCGGGGGTCGAGGCTGGGGATGACCCACGATCCCTGCCCCCTCTCCAGATGGTGACGGTGCGCAGGCCGTGGCCCGCCATGGCCACAGTGCTGCTGGCCCTGCTCGCCTGCCTGGGGGCGCTGGTCCACGCCTACCCCGCCAAACCCGAGGCTCCCGGCGAAGACGCCTCGCCGGAGGAGCTGAGCCGCTACTACGCGTCGCTGCGCCACTACCTCAACCTGGTCACTCGGCAGCGGTGAGCGCGCGCGCCCGCCGGGCGCGGGGTCCTCGGGGCTCCCGCCCACCGCCCAGGGGCGTGTCCGGGTCTGACCCCGCCCACTCTGGCCCCGCCCCAGGTATGGGAAACGCGACAGCCCCGAAGCGGTCCTCTCGAAACTGCTCTTCCCCGACGGCGAGGACCGCCGGGTCAAGTCACGGTAAAAGCGCCCCTCCTCCCACCGCCAGTCACACATCCCGTCCCCTAGTGCTCGGTCTGGGACGTGCGGCCCCACCGAGCCCCACCCTGGCCCCGTCACCTAGCGCTTTCCCCCAGTCTAGCCTCCCCAGATCCGACGCCGGGCTCTGAGCGATTCCTTTCCTTTCCCTCCTACAGGCCAGAAGGCGCGTACATGTGGTGACGACCCCAAGGGCTCCTGGGAGATATGCTAACTACACCGACCTCATTTGCATGGTTGCTCCTGACCCCGGAACCTGGGTTCCTCTCCCTGCCTGCTGCGCCTGGGGGGTGGGTGCGGGATGGGGTCTTCATTCCATTTCTCCGTGTCCCCAGCCCCTGGGCTGGAGGGCTGTGTGTGGTCTTTCCCTGCTTCCCAGATAAAGAGCAAATTTCACTGAAACGGAATGTGTGCGTTTCTATTTCCTTTCCCTTCTCGTTCGTGGAGGTGGCGTCCAGGGGGAGTGGAGGGTGGAGGCACCAGCCAGGAGAAGACCGGGCGCCAAAGTCTCCCCAGGACAAGGCTGGGGCAGAGTGGGGGGCTCACTCTGCTCTGAGCTAAGAGAAGACACTGCGGCCCAGCAGGGGTGGGGAGAACGGAGCCCGAGCAAGGGACCTCTGTGGCACTCTCCAGTTGGGTTGGAAATGGGGCAGGTTCTTGACAAGGGGCAGGGAGGAGCAGGAAAAAGAATTGTGAGAGAACGGGGAGGGTGGAAAGGAGCTTGCTAGGCAGCCTAGGAGAGCAGATGGGGACAGAGGTGCTCTACCCACCTGCCTCCGAAGGTGCAGGTGGTTGGGGGCGTGGACTCAGCACTAGTACCTCAGGACAGTTACCTCTTGAGGAGATGTATTGCTAGCCTCCAGGGCTGTAGTGACGGGGTGGAGATGGGATCCAAGATAGGACTGTGCAGGAAGTCATTTGGGGGGTGAGGTGGGTTTATGTGTGCTGGGGGACGGGTCATTTCTAACGTCCCCCCTTCCCTGGGCAGGAGGTGCAATGGGAGTGTGGAGGCTGCCCTTTCCCTTAGCAACTGCCCTCCCCGACATGCTGAATTCCCACTCCTCATGGAGAAGCCACTCACTGTGCCTTCCTGGTGTCAAGGCTATGGGGACACCCTCCAATGCACCCTCCACATTCCCACTAGACACTGAAGGCACTGTGGATGTTTAAACTGGAGTCTGACCCAAATCCCTCACCACTCTGTACCTATCACGGAGGAATCCCAGAGCCTGCCTGCACGCTGATCTTCCCTGATACCCTTCCTTCCCAGCCCCTTTCCTCCAGGAAGCCTGCCTTGATCGTCCCTGATCTGCACTCGTCTTGCCCTCTGTGGCAGCCCAGCTCTCATGGCCTTGCTCTGTTCTGTCCATGTCACTGTGCCTGGTCTGAGGAACCCCTAAAGGGAGGGCCTATGTCTTCCCACCCAGACACAGCCTCCTCAGTCTGTGGGCTCTCTCCTGGGCCTCCAGGTTAGCAGGATATGCACAAGCCCAAGGTGGGGAGCTGGGGATTGAGGAGGAGAATCAGGTTGAAGCCAAAGCCCCAGACCCAGAGCAGGTCAGCAGTTCAGGAAGGCTGGGGGTGGCACTTCGGAGGGCAGGAGTCTCGCAGGACTGTTTGCAGTTAGGTGGCCATAGGGGCGGGGAGAGAAGATCCTAAAGCCGGCTCTGTCATAGCTGCCCTAGGGGGCCTGGGGCCCTGACTCCTATCTTCTCCTGTGCTGCCTGCCTTTGAAGATAGGGCAGGAATGGGTGCCGGGGAGGCAGGTCCGGGGTCTGGCGCACATCACAAGCTATGTGGACTCTGACGCTCGAAGCCTTTGTCCGGGCACTCCCCGGCCCGCAGAAGCCCTTTCCCTCCTTCCCAGTCTGGAAAACATCTTCAGGATAGTGTTCACCTCCTCCCAGAAGCCTCTCCTGATTTCTCAGGGTAGAGTTAGTTTCTCTGGTTCTCTCTCCCTGCTGTATTGTCATTATCTGAGATCCACCTCCCGTGTCATCTTGCCCCTTCTCTCCTCCAATCCCGGGCCCTCTGCACCAGGAGAGGAGGAGCGGGAACACACAGGAGCTGCCTCGAGCTTCGGTTCATTTTGTGGTCAGAGGAGTGGGACGGTGTGTGCCGGTGCTGGTGTCCATGGCCCCCTGACTGGCGGTCTGCCTGGGAGGGCTTCGGTCAGCTTGAAGCTGATGGAAGAGACCCCTGGCATGGGGTCTGTGATCCACAGACAATTTCAGTTTGACCTGTCTGGTTGGCCATCAGTGACATGGGTTCACCTCCCATTCACTTGGAGGAGTGTTGAGCCGGAGCGTTAATCCACAGGTGACCAGACTCAGCCAGCGCTGCCGCCTCAGGAGCCTTAGATGTGATATTAATGGTGACAATAGGTACCTTTTGAAAGAAGCACTTACTTACGTGCTAGACACCGAGCTATTTGTTTTACACACACCATATTGCTAGAATATTGACTTGGCTTTTTAAATAGAGGCAGAATTAGCAGTGGCTGAAACAAGACAGCAGTTTATTTCTCTTTTATATAAATTTCAAGCGGCATCTGGGGATCAGCAGCTCTGTTCCAGGAGGACATCCAAAAGCCCAGGGTCCTATTTTGTGGCATCCCCATGTCCTCCTCCACGTGACTGAAGATGGCCCACCATCACCACCTCCGTGTTCCAGTCCCTGGGAAGGGAGGGAAGGGAGGAGTGCAGGTGTGCTGCTTACTTTGCTGGATTCGCAGTTACCCTAAGACTTAGCAGCTTCAACCAATCATTTCATTTCACTCATGATTCTGTGGGTCAGGATTGGGAAGGGCTCAACTAGGCACCTGTCCCTTGAAGTCTTTCAGGCAGTGACAGTCAGAGGTTGGCTGGGGTCGTCGGAGGGCACCCCTGGGTTAATGCCCAAGAAGGCTCACTCACTCACGTGTCTGGTGGGTGCTGCTGGCTGCTGGCAGGGGGCTCAGCTGGGTCTGTTGACCCAGCACCTCCATGGGGGCCCCTCCACTGCTATATTCTTGGGGTAGCTGGACCCACATGGTAGCTGACTCCCCCCCCCCCAAAGTGTGAGGGCTCAGGGAGAACCAGGAGGAAGCAGCGCGCCCTTGGCTTCCTGGGGCTGCTGTAACAAAGCACCACAAGCCGAGTGCTTTAGTCTGGAGGCTAGAAGTCTGAAGTCCGGGGCCGGTGGGGTTGCTTCCTTCTGAGGGCTGTGAGGGGAGGGGCTGTTCCAGGCCTCTCTCCTTGGCTCGCAGACGGCTGCCCTCTCCGCATGACTGTTTCCGCGTCCAAGTGTCCCCTTGACTTAAACACAGCGGTCATATTGGATAAGGGGTCCGCTCTCCTCCAGTGTGACCTCATCTTAATCAGTGACATCCGCAATGACCCTACTGCCAGATAAGGCTGCATCCTGAGGTACTGGGGTTAGGACTTCAACATATGAATTTGGGGGGGGGGACACAGTTCAACCCCTAACAACTGCCTTCCTTGACCTGGCCTCACAAGCCACATGTCATCTTCCAACACACACTATTGGTCAAGCAGTCACAGGTCCACCTGTATTCGAGAAGAGGGGACACGGAGCCCTCTGGAGAACGACATGTGGGAGAGGAGGGCTTTCTGGGGCCATCTTTCTGTGGACGATGGGCCTCAGGACCGCACGCCCACCCCCAGAGCGGAAGGGCGCGAGGCACCTAATCGCTCATCTCATTGGCTGGAGCTCAGTCACGTGGCCCCACCTCGCGGCCGGCACCACCCCTGAGATGTCCTTAGCGGGCGGAGGGGCCAAGGGCTGTTCTCAGGCTCTTCTCAGGCTCTTCAACGATGGCAGGAGAGAGGGAGAGAGAGGGTATGGGGCAACTCGCGTTATCTGTTACAAACACGCTCTCCTTTGAACGGCCTGAATCTGAGCTCTCACCCAGGCCTACGCCCATGAGTCCCGCGGTGGCGGGTGGGCAGGGGGGCAGTGGGGACCGGGACCTCCGAGACAAAAGATCTGGATTTGAGTCCTGTCTGCCATTAGTCAGCCGTGTGACTCTGGCCGAGTCATTCCATTTCACTGCCTGTTTTTCTTCACTGGTTACACTGGTTATACCTTAAATAATAATAATAATAATATTTCACTGCTTATGCTCAGAGAGATTATGTACTTTGCCAAAGGTCACACAGCTAGTGAGTGGTAGAGCTAATGAGAAATACAGCTGAATCTACAGTCTGACCCATGTTTATTTTTATTTATTTATTTATTTATTTAACAGAGTGAGAGAGATAGGGAGAGCAGGAACACAAGCAGGGGGAGTGGGAGAGGGAGAAGCAGGCTTCCCGCGGAGCAGGGAGCCTGATGCGGGACTCGATCCCAGGACCCTGGGATCATGACCTGAGCCGAAGGCAGACGCTTAGCGACTGAGCCACCCACTCTCTTACTCTCTTCTCTCTTACTTCTAACCCTTCTCAAAACTGCTCTGGCAACTCTCCCTTCAACTCCCCCAAAGGAAAAGCTCCCCTCCTTCCACACCCAGCCCCTCTTTAGGAAAAATCTGGGCTGACAATGATAGGATTTGCTTTCGCAGGTGCTGTGGGCAGGGAGGGAAAAATACTGAACACTTCGGTGCCTGCAGGGGCCCTGGATGCAGATGGAGTCTCCTGGGAAGAGAGAAGTGGGGGCAGAGTCCAATCTCCAAATGAGTGATCTGAGTCCCCAGTCAGGCCTGCATTGATTTGGAGGGAATGGGATGGGGGCTCACGGTGTGTGTGTGTGTGTGTGTGTGTGTGTGTGTGAGAGAGAGAGAGAGAGAGAGAGAGAAAGCGGTCCTCAGCCTAAGGGTTTCTCCAGCTAATAGGGGACCCCCTGGGTTCCTGGCATCCAGGGGCAGTCACCTGTCCCCACCTCTGCTGCTGCCAGGAATGCAGGAATGCAGGAATAAGACATGGTCCTAAGAGCTGGGCCAGGCTGCTTTGGAGGCACTCTTGTGAGAGGCGGGCATGGAGGATGTGATGCTGGCCAAATGCCTGCCCTTGCAGTCCTGTATGTGGGGACCCCCACCCCGCTTGCTACGGTGCACTCGGCCTCACCATGTGACCCCAGGTGTTCCTGGGGTGTTCCTCTCCTAGTGTCACTGAAGCCCTCACTCCATCCCTAATGCAGCCCAGTGGCCATCCATCCTCCCCGTCCTAGAAGGCGTGGGGCTGGGCAGGTGGAGAGGGACCTTTTCCGTTTCATTTGGTCTGCCTGCAGGTAAGTACTTGGTGCCTTCTCTAAGCAGGGCTCCACGGCAAGCCCTCAGAACACAGGCAGAGGAGCGAGAAGCATCACCCGGTTCTGGATCTGGCCATACAGTTCAGAAAGCACATCCACTACCTCCCCCTCTTCTTTTGTCCCAACATCCCTGAGAGGACCCAGAAGGGGAAT